AAACCTTGTCCTGCCTATCCAAGATCTTAGTGGTAGAAGCCACATTGAAGTTACATGCACTGTAACATGAAATTATAATTTATATTATCTGTATAATGATATCACATATCATTTGTATCACACACAGCCGCTCCTTTGCTTCTTTATGGATTGCCTTATCCAGGATTCAATGCATACAAAATTGCAGAAAACTTCAAAATCTCAAATCCAAATTAATTGGAAAAATAATTTCTCCCATCCTATTACAAAGAATCTGGAAATTTATACAAGCCAATCTTAGGCTACCTTTACCCAGTCTGATAACCCCTGGATATGTTGGATTCTCATCTTGCAAAATTGTCAGTCAGAACCACAAAGGAATGAATGAAAATTGTGATAGGTCTGCCCAGAGCAGTCTCCCTCCCTCCCTCCCTCTCTCTCTCTCTCTCTTTTGCACATAAACATTAAGCATTCAACTTCTGAAAACGGTGCAATGAGTGTGAGGTTGAGGATTTATCCTATAATTGCTAATCTCAGCTCCTCTCTCTGCCATTTCAAGTCTTTCAAGAATTTATGGAATTCTTTGTTCATTCTCACCCAGCCTGCTTTTTAAATAAGTTTTAAAGAGCACTTAGTTTCAGTTCACTTTTTATTGAAATGATAATGAATTAAAATTTAATGTATTTTTTTTTTCTGTTTATGGTTTCTATGGAGCTAATTTAAATTGTTTGAGTAGCTACTTGGTTTTAACATTTAGTGGTTGATTTGAAATGTTTGATTATTTTATCAATGGGCCATCTTGAGAGGCAACAATGGCATGCGCACTCTATTTGTTCGACTGATTAGTAAGCATCATTTTGAATAGGTGGTGAAATACACTGCTCAAAAAAAATAAAGGGAACACAAGGAGAAAATATCCGAGATCTGAATGAATGAAATAGCCTTATTAAATACTTCGTTCGTTACATACAGTAGTTTTGTGTTCCCTTTAGTTGTTTGAGCAGTGTATAAACTATTGTATGTAAAGAACAAAGTATTTAATAAGGCTATTTCATTCATTTAGATCTCAGATGTCTTCTGCTTGTGTTCCCTTTATTTTTTTGAGCAGTATATTTTCTATTCCTTAGTAGCAGGGAAGAATGCTAGAGTTTACTGTAGCAAATGAAAATGCCTCTCTTTTTAAAAAGTATTATATTCTTTACAAAGAACTGATCTGGGTGAAGCAGGAAGTACATGGAACTATTGGGAGAGAGGCTGAGCTGTTAGCTACATCATTTTCTTCAGGTTCCCCAAAGAAGAGCAGCTTAAAAAAAGATCTGTTGGAAGCTGCAGGGCAAACCAAGCCCCCTACTTTCTTCAGCTATAATTCAGAACAGATTTTTGCCATATCATCAATGGCCCATTTTGTCTCCATTCATGGTAAAGGTACTATAGCAGGGGTGAAATGCTCCCGGATCAGGCCGGATCGCCTGGTCTAGTAGTGATCTTGGCTAGTGGTTTGGCAAAGCTCGGCCCATCCGCCTGGGTATCATTACTTCCTGGTTTTAACCAGGAAGTAATGTGTTTTATACCTTCTGCGCGTGCGCAGAAGGTTTTGCGCATGCGCAGATGGTCTGCGCATGCACGTGATGTGCGCACACCGCAAGCACTTCCAAAACCATTAAGGAAGGTAAGTAGATTTCACCCGTGAACTATAGGTGCTGAGATTGAATTGTATGTAGTTGGCTTGTTTAAAAAAATATAAAGATATAAACTCTATTTTAGAAGCAGGAATTAATGGAAGATTTTTAAAAATATTTTTTTTCTGGTTAATAATGAAACTGGGTTCACTAGTCGACATTAATAAGTATCCAGGTAATTCAGGAATCTGAAGATAAGCAATTTATGGCCCTTAGAAAACATATTAGTGTTCTGCTTTATTCCCTCCAGTCACAGACTTCTGATTTTGCTCAAAACAAAACAACAACAGAACAGTACTGAAGAATTTGGAGGAGTTGAGAGCAGGTAGAGCCATCTGTACAAGGACTTTACCTCTCTGAGCAGTAGGGAGAGGGGGGTAGGGCATGAAGGATCAGCTTACATAAGTGCTTTACCATATGAACAAATAATTTAGAGGTATTAATAGAGGTTAAAGTTTCCCAGGAATCCAAAACAGGCCCCCCAGTCACAGGTGGGTTTCTTCACTCACAGAGAGGGAGAGAGAGTAACCTGACACCAGCGAAAGATGACAGGAGGCAGAAACCCAGCCAGAATTTACACTATGCAAAGAGGGTGTGGTAGGTCTGCTCGCGTCCCAGCTGATTTATTAGCAGGCCTTCAAACAAAGGCTTTAGTAGGGAACGTCTGTCCAATGTGCTTTCTCCCTTGCTTCCATCATCACTTGAATAAGAGACACAGAGTGGCTGTGGAGACAAGATTCCAGTTGGGTTATGAGAAAACGGGGTGTAATCAGAAAGGAACAAAAAGTTAAAGAGTGGGGCCAATTCTTTCAATACATAACATATGCATATGTGTTTTACATCAATGTGCACAGTTTCACATTTAAAATGTGTAGTTGTGTACTTTAAATAAGCTTGAAGGGAGAAATTCAGTGTGCAGGAAAACAATATATCACATATTTAAAATAAAGATTGGACCCGCCATTAAACAGAGACAGCCACTTAGCATATTTTTGGTATAATAAAAATGCAATAAATTGTTAGCCTATTTATTGTTTCTTTGTTGGATTCTTACCCACCTTGCTTTCAAAGAACGGATCTTATATTATTTAATTGGAACCAGCTGTAATCATTTTTAACAGACTCTTGATTACGGTGGATCTACTCTAACCATAGGTAACTAGCTTAAGTTCCACTTGATCCTATGCATTATATTTTTACAGAAGAGAGCTTATAAAGTATTCTGCTTTACATGCCTAAATAATTTGCTGTTTTCCTAACAGCAAAATATCTTAGACTATACTACTAAATAGAAAATATGACATGTAAGATATAGTAAGATTGTGCACACTCCAGGAGTGGGTTCTACTTACCTTTGCTACCGGTTCGCAACGGGGCCGTGCGCGCCCACTTGCTTCACTCATGCATGCGTGCGCTCTTCTGCACATGCGCAGAAGCATCTTGATGATGTTGGGATTGGTGGGCGGAGTCTCCCGCCAGTTTTACCACCGGTTCTATAGAACCGGTGCGAACCAGGGGCAACCCACCACTGGCGCACTCATATTCAGATCTCTTCCTGCTGAATTATTGCCACTCAAAACATCTACTTATCAACAATTGGCATATTGCAGGTGTGGTTCTGGAACTGTCATGTTTTATCTACTTTCATGGGGCATCTCCATGATGTGGTCATTTTAATATTGTGCTATAGCTATATTTTCCTTGAAATACTAAAGAGTAATGCAATCTCAACAGGTGTAGATGTTTAGCAATATCTTACTATTTTTAAAAATAATAATAATAATAATAGCATCTTGATATAAGTATTTACATTTACCACTTTTAAAGTACAGGTAGTCCTGGACTTACAACAGCTCGTTTAGTGACCATTTGAAGTTACAACAGCACTGAAAGAAGTGACTTATGACTGTTTTTCACACTTATAACCATTGCAGCATCCCCAGGGTCATGTGATCAAAATTTGGATGCTGGACAACTGACTTATATTTATGACTGTTGCAGCATCCTGGGATCATGTGATCACCTTTTGACAATCTTCTAACCAGCAAAGTTAATGGGGAAGCCAGATTTACTTCACAACCAGTGATTCTCTTAACAATTGTGGCAAGAAAGGTTATAAAATGGGCAAAAGTCACTTAACAACAATCTTGCTTAACAACAGAAATTCTGGGCTCAGTTGTGATCATAAGTCAAGGACTACCTGTATTATATACGCACTTCCTAAAGTGGCTTAACTCCAGAATTCTTATTTATTTTAATTGCAAATATAAAAGGCCTTCTAGAACAGGGATTCCCAACACTTGGGCCGTGGACTGGTACTGGGAAGTATTGGGAATTGGGCCACCAAAGCGGTGGGTGAGCATGCAAAAATTCATTTGTGCACGCGTGGCTTTTAGGTTGCATGCACAAAACTATTCTCCCTGCCCCCAAAACCGTCAAAGTCACCAGTGCCGGTCCACAGAAACAAACCCCTATCCTATAAGACCTCCATTGGTCCAACAGCCTAATATCAAGGCCGTACATAAAGTGCTAAATACATTATTGATACTAAGGCAATGCCAAATAATACTGAAGCAATGCCTTTATTAATGTGCCAAATTTCACTGTAAGGGGCCAACTATAGAAATAAGATATGTTGAGAATAAAACAGGAAAATTTTAGTATTTGTCAATAAAACTAAAGTAATGCTGGACTGGAATTCTGAGAGCTGCAGTTTCAATATCCAGAGAACCCCAGGCAGGAAATGATGGTTCTATTACCACTACTCACTTCACCTCAAAGGATGGAAACTGAGGTGGGCTTCTGATAAAGTTCAGCTTCATTACAATAGTCAAATACAATTCTTTTAGTAACCGTCCCTCAGCAAACTACATTATTGGGTCAGACAGACGATCTGTCCTATGCCAGCAGTTACATGTGCAAGAGGTCAGACCGATCAGAGTTCTTCATAGCAGCTATAAATCTCACAAAGCAGGAATGCAAGAGCACAGGAAAAATAAAGTTAACTTCAGAAGCCAAGGTTCTGGGCAGACAAATCTAGTATCAGGAGTTAGGCCTGAGTGTAATATTTTACCCATTGAAAGTTCAGGCAGAAAATCAGAAGCTGCACAGAAAATCAGGTTGGTGGTTGGAATATTGTTTGCTATCAAAAATCTGACAAGCTTATATTTTCCTCATGGTGCACCCTGGATAGCAAGGTAGTGTGAACCAAAGGACTAGCAACAATCAACAGCCAGACTACATTGAAGAATTGGCAGTTAACGACAGTTGGCAATCAGACATCTTTGAAGAACTCCTGGCTCTCTAAATACATGGCAACGGGTAAACAAAACAAGTCTTCTAAAGCCCCAAGGGTGAAAGAGCACTCAACTACCATCAAGAAAGCGCTCTCGGCCTTTTGACGGTCAGCTCCCTCACACTCTGAATTCACCCACCCTAGACATTAATATCTGAACCACTATAAGTCCATGTATTTGCCATACGCTAAATGAATATATGTAGATAAATTTCTGAACTGTGTCTCTTTCTTTTGAAGAGCCTCACTGGACCATTTTGTTCTACTGACTTGATCTTTCTGTAAGGATATTTTCCAGGTCAGGTGACCTGACCTATTGTGCTTCTGCAGTAGGTAACCGTTTACCTGGCTACTCCAGACCTGCAGCTCTTCCTCAAACAAACCCTGCTCTTTGTGAGCCTCTTCTGGAGATACCAGAGTACCCAATAGCTCCAGAGTTGGACAAACCTGTCCAGTCCTGCTCCTCCTTCTCAAAGTCATTAAGTAGGCCCATAACATGAGCCATCTCCCAGTTCATACTGACTTTCAATCACTCTAGATTTCAGACTAGAATAATTTGCCTTGGGGATTGATCTGAGATTTTTGCAACTTTTAACTTGACCATACTATGATTATGCCTACCATACCTACCCTAATGCAATTAGGGTCCTATACAAGCATATGAATACAGGTAGTCCTCACTTACTGACCATTCATTCAATGATTGTTATCACAATGCTAAAAAAGGAGACTTATAACCAGTCCTTCAAGTTGTGGCCATCACATGTCCCTGCAATCTTGGGTTCACAACTCAGGCACTTTGCAGCTAGTATGCATTTAAAACAGTTGCAGCATTCCATGGTCACATGATTGCCAAGCTTCACTTCTGGGTCCTATTGCAATTGGTGAGGACTACCTATATATTATTTGTGTTGCTGAAGCCCACCTTCAAGAGTCTCCTTCTAAAGCATTGTGAATGGTTACAAAAAATACAGTATATCATGAGATTGTCTGCTGATGTCTATTCCCTGAAATATTCATTAAACTATCTGTATTGTATTTTAGGTAACTCTTCAAGTATTTCCAGAAATAATACATCGACAGCAGATAAAAACAGATGCTGAAGCCTCCATAACTCTCCAATTTCCTTGTCTAGAAGTTTATCTACTGCATTGCTCTAGCTAAGTTTGACTGGATCACTTTGGACCACTTTCCCTCTAGTGATCTATATCTTCTACAACAATGAGCACAGGATTTATATCACTTCAATAATGTTTGGAAGATGCTAGAAGACCCTGTAAATGACCAATAGGGAAATGAGCTGTGGTGGTGCAGTGGTTAGAATGCAGTATTGCAGGCTAATTCTGTTGACTGCCAGAGTTTGATTCTCACCAGCTCAAGGTTGACTCAGCTCAAGGTTGACTCCATCCTTCTGAGGTTGGTAAAATGAGGACCCAGATTGTTCCAGGCAATATGCTAACTCTGTAAACTGCTCAGAGAGGGCTGTAAAGCACTGTGGCATGGTATATAAGTGCCATTGCTATTCCTAAATGGAAATAGTCTCCATAAGACTAGGAATTTTGTTCAATGACATAGCATTGCTGTGGCCAACTTGATGAAAATCAAAAATAAGCTGAAATTTCATATATTTCAGCAATCCTGCAAGCTCTCATGCAAGAATACTGAAAACTTGCCATTTTAAAAAATATTTTAAATCTGATTTTGTCCACTTGTGTCTTTTAAGTCATCATTATTTAAGTTCTGAATTTATTTTCTTAATGTAGAGAAAATATATGCCCATCTTAAATGCATAATCTTGGTTGATTAACAACAACAACACACACACATCTCAATTCACAAATGCAAGCTAAAACAAAAATATATGTTGCCAGCTAGGGTTTTTACAAACCATCCATCTGTGGATGACCTGTGTTGCCAATCTTTAAGTACTTTCAGATGAACACATAGAGAGGTTGAAAATGTAAAGGATGCTGAAATATATACATTTCAATCTCCTCTCCACAACTTCCCTTTTTTTAAAAAAAAACCCTGTTAGTTGTTGATTAGGGCAACATTTTACCACATAAATGACTTTTTATTTTGAGGTGCTTTTATTTGAACAGACAGTTTTATTATAATCTGCTTTAAAAGACCAATATTTGTGCTAATGGAAAGTATAAATGTTTCACATAAATCAAAATTAGTGCTGTCTCCCAAATTATCACCTTTCATCAATCCAAACATGATGGCATACAAATTTCCCAAGCAGTGACAATCTGCTTTTATTTACAGTATTGTAAAGAGCAATGAAGCTTATCCTGCCAAAATCTAGAGTAAATCCAAGATCTAGCCATTGACTGATTAATAACATCTAAAACCAAAGACTAAATTATTTTACCTAAAATAAGCAACACCTAGGGAAGGAATATGTGCTCACATCTAATCAGGCTGTGATACTTTAGCTATGATGCATTGCTTGTTGAAATAAGTACTATCTGATCCTCCTTTCTGTAACTGAAGCTTCACTGGTGCAGAAATAAAACGCCCCAAAATGCAGTTCAAAGCTAAAAATCAGAATACGGCAATCTTATTTTTCTTTACACAAATTGATCTCCATTGTAAGTATGTACTACACTGCTAGAATCAAAGATATTTGTAATTCTTTCTCTGGTTCATTTGAAGATCAGTTTGTCTGGGCGATGAACTTTGTACACTTGAGCTTCTCCAAAATACACCATGCTTTCTTTACCTTTTCTCCTTACTTTTCCTTATGTTTTCTCTTCTTCTTTTGCCACTGCCTGGACTTCTTCACACTAACCAACCACCCCCTTCCCAAACAAAATCCTCTCAGAAGCACTGGTGTGTTTCCAAGCCCAGGTATGAAACCACGGCTTGCGATGTTACAGATAACATACGGAGGATGTAATTCCTCTCAGCAAGTGCAGCAGCCATAAAAGGCTAAAATGGATTCCTGTGGATTAGAAATAAAACACAAAAAGGGCCCTGTTCTCTTGCTTTCCCCACCCTATTACTTCCCCCCACTTTAAAAAAAAAACAACAACTTGGAAATGCAAAGAGCTTTACCAAAGAAAAAAAAAGTCACAGACTTAAAAGAAAAATAAAATACGTTCCAGGAAAAGGACTGCTGCTAAGAAAACTAAAACCAGAAAATGTTTAAAGATGTTTTAATGACTTAAACACAGAGCCGGGATTGTATCTAAAAGTTTCCACGTTTGGGGGGGAAAGAGCAAATTCAATATTAAATATCCCCTTGCCACCAGTATTACTGCTGCATTTCCCCCTTATTTAAGGTGTGTGTTATGAACATACCTGGTTTTAGTAACACTTGACATTTATATTCCTATTCTAAAAAGATATCCAGCTACTGATCTTTCTGCAAGTGGACAAAGGATCCAAAGAATTGTTAACAAAATGCCAACAGGTTTTTACACTCACAATTAGTCCTCATTTAGAAAGAGATTACTGGAATCTCCTTTCTAATTGGAGGACAAACCTGACTCACACAACCAGGTTTGCTTCCTTTAGCTAACTCCGCAACCAGACAACCATCACCGTTTTGTTGAAGGAGTCTAGTTCTTGTCCATCATTGGGCGAGTTGAACTGGATCAGTCCTCAGCTCTCCAGACATCCCATGAAATATGTTCATGCCACCTTGTTACTAAACTGTTACTAAACCCAAATTATACCTTTTCATGGAAGAGAATGCGAGTTAATGAAAAAACAGAGTAAGAAAAGGGATGACAACTGTTTGCACTAGATACTGCCTTCTGTGCATTCCCAGAGGGGAGAGATATTTTAGTAAAACAGTTTTGTTCTATGTATGAAAGATTACTACTTCAGACCCAGAAAGTTTCCATGCAAACATGTATGAGAGAGAAAAAAATGAAGACCTGTATGGTTAAATCTACAGTGTGTAAGAGTGACCTCAAAAAACCCATCCCCATTATTTTGAACAAATATTAGATCAAAAAACAAATCAGAGTCTGATTTCATCTGCCCTCCTCTTTCCCACCCTAATTAATCCCATATGGCAATCTACCTCGAAGAGCCATAGGATGAGGCCCTAGAACAAAAACAGAGCCTCTTGGGTATGGCTCCCAGAGACTTGCCAAACCGTGCATTTTTTAATCTGACAGATGTGGAAAATTTAATCTGATCAATAGAGAAAATTATTCCATGACTGGAGAAGAGTCATATTAATTGTATTTAATTTAATTACAAATGAAATGAAATCAGATTTAGATTTGGCCAAATAGGATTTCATCTTGGAAAAAAGTTGTACCTCCCAATCATACAACTTTACCTTGGAGTGTCACTGAAATTTAAGAGATGAAGATTACCTTATCTAACAAAAACCAATTCAGCAACAGCTTCCAGCCATACAATTCCTAAATAAAAAGAGAAAGCCAAATTAATGTCAGCAAAAAGATAGCATCATATGGTTGTCTTTCAAACATTATGACAATATTCACCCATACATATCAGCAACTTACCAACAGATAGTCTTCTAGAAAACTGAATTAGCACTTCAAGGAATACAAATACACATTTGAAAAAAAGTGTAACAACGCTTATTTAAGGAATGTTCCTCTACAAAGAACTAATAGAACACATAAATAATATTTGCAGTGGGATTGATTAAAAAAACAGTTTCAAACTTGAAATATAGTTTTCTTCATTTTTTCAGCAAAAAATGCTAAACGTGTGAAGCTGTTGATCCTACTTCTCTACAGCAGGAATCTCTTTGTTTTGTGTGGGCTTAGTTTTATCAGTGAGCCTAAAAAATCAGTTTGACAATACAAATGCCACAAGAACTGCAAAACCATAATTATCTTTACTTTTACCTCCTTTTTCTGATGGGGAAAAAAGCACCATTGTTCCAAAGACCAACCTTCTTATTCCCTTTGTTCTCTTAGCCTCCTTCACCTGAAATGAAATAATTGTTCAAAAAATGTAGTTTTTCCTATCCTCATAAATTTCTCTGACTCTGTAGGCCTTTTTTCCTCTTTCTTTTGAGTCGCCCAACTAAATTCAGTATTTTTTCATAGGCATATATAGGTTTGTATTATCAAAGAATATTATCTGTTCATTCTTCCTTATTCATCATTTCCTCCTTATATGGCTTAGCTCCTGTTAATCAGTATTTCCTAAAGCAAAATTATATTGTAAGATTTTGTACACAGACTGTATCCAGATAATATTTACCATGAAATGTGGATGTGGAAGTGATGTGAAACAAATTGTCACAATCAGGGATGAATAGTGAATGTTGAAATTTTTATTTTATAAATTCTGCGAAAGAACTAATAGGAAAGTGAAATGGAGAAAATATTTTGCTAGTCATGTTGAGCTTCTATGTTCTGTTCTGCAAGAACTTAAAATCAGGGTTCTTTTTAAAGTATCGGTATTTAAAAAGTATTGAGTAAAGTATTTCAATTCTTTACTCAAATTGAAGAATATTTAAACTTTTCATCCCAGTTTTAGACAAAATTAGCATTGCTTCTATTAATATCAGGAAGACGCTCAATTTATATTCATGGAATATTGACAAACTTTAATACAGTATAACAGGGGTGTCAAACACAAAGCCTGCGGGCCAGATCTGGCCCACAATGTGGTCAGATCCGGCCTGCGGGGCCATCCTGGAAAATGTAAGGGGCCAACTCGCGTTGCTTTGGCCCAGTCTACCTAATGCGAAGAGGAAACATGCCAGCAGTTTGGGGAGTGGCATCAAGCTGGCCACACCCACCCAGTCAGCCACGCCCACCCAGTCAGCCACACCCACCCAATCGGCCATGTCTGCCCGGCCCCCCGAGGCCAACCACAGCCCTGATGCAGCCCTCAATGAAATTGAATTTGACAACCCTGCAGTGCAAGTATTCCTATACCAAACTTTGAAAAATATAAATATATTTTTTCCTCCTTGCCTCTTAAATCAGATTATTTATTTATATTCATTCATTCATTCATTCAATTTCTATAGCTTTCCATCTCAGTCAATGACTCTGGGCATCTTAAAATTCATAAAGTATATTACAATTAAGACACTAAAAACATTTTAAAGGAATAAAAACAATAAATATACTGTATATTAAATCTGCTTCTGAAAAGATAAGAATGTCTGTCAGTGAATCTCAGAGCTTTTGCCTCCTTCTATGTAGAAGACAATTGAGATACCAGGGTTTTCCAATAGTTTTCCTGCCAGTGGAACACATATAAAAAGTAGTTAATGTATTCCATCAATTGAAAGTAATGATAAACAACTTTCATAGAAGAAATTAAAATATTAAAAAGAAAATAAAGGCAGGGGATTCTTGAACAGACAGAATGCCCTCATCCACATGCTTCACTGTGATTGACAAATGCCAGTGGCATTCCTAAAGAAATATGACTAGCTGAAGTCCTTTCTTTTATCTGCTTTCTGAAGCTTTTTTTTTCCCTGGGAGTATGTAGGGTTTGCTGACATTACAGTATACACATGTTACAAGATCCATAGAAAGGTAGCTATGTGCAAAATTGTGTGTAAAACAGATGAATGAGCTGCAGTTTCTGAATACTGTTTCAATTGCCTGGATTTTTGTTCAAAAGATGTAACTAACTTCCTCAAACATCAACATAGTCATTCTCTGGTCATAGGGGTTTGTTTTAATTTCATTTCCATTCTCCTCAGATTAAATTTTGAAATGTGAATCTGTCATGAAGACAAGGAGGTTGTTCAGCAAATGTACCTTGGATGTGTCTTTTTTGTTTGTGCGTGTAAACACACATACATGCATGTATACATATACCTACATACCTATATACACATGCACAGACACGCATGCAATTAAAAAATGGAAGCAAGAGGTTTTGCATAGGTTAATAAGCCAATCAATTGCCTAACTGGATATGTGCACAGAGGAAAGTTGGTGAGGGTCTTTAATTCCAGCTTTTAATAAACAAAAGGCTCTCTAGTCATAATAAAATGTGTTTTACGCTCCAAAGAGGAGGGTGGAGGGGGCAACTGGCTGGGTATCACTGGCTTCTGAGCCCAAACAATGAGGTTAAGAAACATAACTGTAACGCATTAGTAAATTGACAATGAAATTGCAGTTACTTCACTGGCTCTTTATTAAATAAACACAGCCTGAAATGGACCTGTCTGCCCTGAAGGTATTTGTATAGGGTTCATATTACTAACTCAACACTGCTGCTAAGACGCACTCCTCAGCATTGCATATCCTGGCAAGCAAACACATTCCAGAACAGTCCCTGCAAGATGGAGTAGACCTCACTTTTCCCTTGTCACTTTTTCCTTTGCATTTTGACCTTAGATTTTACAGCCTTTGGCTGCTACTTCAGCACCATCTCTCCAGATTTTCATTCCTTCAGAAAGCTAAAAAGAAAAGTTGATACAGAATCGCATATGCCAGCAGCACCTTCCAAGACCACCGCACAAATGAAAGCACACACACACACACACACACACACACACACATCTTTCCTTGCCTATAACTAAAGAAAAATATCTTCATCGTAGCTTTCTTACACAGTCTTCGCACCACCCCAGCCAAGACATGACATTGCCAGATTTAATTTCCCACACAAGAATCATTTACATATGCAAGCTCATGTCATGGTCAAACATCTACCCTTCATGGAAAAATCACTGCCTACAAATATTTTAAGAGCCAAAGTAGATATGTAGATGAAAATTACTTCCTTTTTTAATAAAAGGAAGCGATTTAAAATCAAAGTGTCTGATTTACTTTAATAATATAATAATATAGTAATAGTAATATTACTAAGAATTGCAATCTTCTCACCCAATTATTAGCATTTCAGTTTGTTTATTTTTTAAAAAGACACAATGTAAGTTTGCTCCTTTTTTTCCTCAGATAGGCTTTCAAGTGGAAATTATAATTATTAATACAATGGGGTATGCAAGAAAGCTATAACTAAACGATCAAGGGGTAGTGTTTGGGGACTTCTAGCTTACAGGAAAAATGGATAAAATTTACCTAGTGTACAGAAAACAGAACAGAATTCTTTTCCTTCCTCTTAATATAAGAACCTGTAACTTTCCAGTGAACCAGAATGGCAGAAATTTTGAGACAGATATTTAAAAAGTAATGAAAGTCTATATACAAACGGGAATGCTGTTAAAACATTGTAGTAGAAAGATATTTAAAAAGAAAGGTCTGTTGATTTAAATCTGTACATATAGTCCTTGACTTATGACCACAATTGAGCCCAGGATTTCTGTTGTTAAATGAAACATTTAAGTGAGTTTTGCCCCATTTTATGACCTTCTTTGCCACAGTTGTTAAGTGAATCACTGCAGTTGTTAAGTTAGTAACATGGTTGTTAAGTGACTCTGGCTTCCCCATTGACTTTGTTTGTTAGAAGGTCACAAAAAGGGATCACATGACCTTGGGATACAGCAACAGTCACTAATATGAACAGTTGCCAAGCAACTGAATTTTGATCATATGATCATGGGGATGCTACAAAGGTTATAAGTGTGAAACATGGTCATAAGTCACTTTTTTCAATGCCATTGTAACTTTGAATGGTCACTACATGAACTGTTCTAAGTCAAGGGCTACCTGTATTACTCTTCTATCCAGAAGAAAGAATCAGCTATTAAGATAGCTTTCACCAATGTGGCATCTTCCAGAAATGAAGGATCACAATGCTTATAAATATCTAGCCAACAAGTTAGCTGAGAATGAATATATTTGACATCAGTTCCCTCCATGTCATTTGTGATGAATATGTCTGACAGCAGCTCCCTCCCATAATTCCCAGCAAGAATATTTGCTGAAAAAGTAATGTGTCCAAGTCCCATCATTTCCAATTGGTTGAAATGATTTGAGCTGTCCAATAGAGCTGGAAGGCACCAGTTGGACAAAGGCTGCTTTAACTCAGTAAAAGCATAAGATTTTACAATGACAAGAGGTTTTATTTTGTTTCTTAATAGAGCAATTAGACTACTTAGGTTTGTTGGATTCTCTGCTTTCTGTTTTTCCGACATTGCCCATTTCTCTGGCGTTTGCTTGACATCTGAAAGAAAAAGCTCTGTGCAATTTTGGAATTAAACTCCACCTTTTAACTCATTTTGATGTTTGCCCAAAGGCCTTACCAACCAAAAGGCAGGAAATATACTGGGTGTGCAGCCTATAATAACCGGCAGTGCAACACATTAATATATTTGGCATTTGTTTGTTTATAATTAAATGACATATTTCCTTCCCAGCCCTAACCAATGTCAGCCTTTTCAGGAGCCAAAAAGACAAACATTTTTTGTATGTAAGGAAAGAGAGAAAGACTGCATGCCTTTACCCAAAATATATTTACATGTTGCATTTTAGCAATCATTAAAGTAATGCCCAACTGTCTGACTCCATACAAATTTCTCTCTAGAGTCAAGTTATAAGCCATATTCAGATGAACTTCTGTTTCTTCTCCACCACCTGCTTTTAAATGAAATGACACAGGCTTATCCCTATTCAAAATCTTCAAAAAAATTTATACAGTATTATTGCCAACTGCAATAATTGATTATTGATTACATCCCATCAAGTCAACACTGACCACATACAGTAGATTCTCCAGGATGATCTGTCCCCAATCTGGTTCTTCAGATCTTCCAATAGCACACACATCACTACTCTAACTGAGTTTGATTTAGGGTTGCTGCTGGTCATCTTCTTCCTCGCTTTTCTTCCACTTTTTCCAGCATTAGAGATTTTTCAAAAGAGCTAATGTGCTCAAAAGAGAATAAAACTCTCAACTGATTTTTTTCTAAGATTGTTTGGTTTCTCTTGTATCTATTGTATGAGCCGAGGTGGCGCAGTGGTTAGAGTGCACTGGTTAGAGTGCAGTACTGCAGCTACTTCAGCTGACTGCTAGATCAGTGGATCAAATCTCACCGGCTCAAGGTT